GAAAAGTACTAGGTCAAAGGGATACATTAGGGGAGGGGGTTTCTAGGAGAGAGGAATAGGTTGCTACGTGCCTTGCAGCTTTCTTTGTTAACCTTGAGCAAGCGTAGGGAAGGGGCTTATCTATAAGGCAGGTGTTCTGTGTATCTCTGGTTAGTAGCTGACTGCTTTCTCTGTGAACCGGTTTACTCCCCATTTCCCAAGGCCGTCTCTGGAACGGTTTGTCTCAGGAGCCCCATTTTTTTTATGGTGGCTCTTGGCTCCTTTCAGTTTAACATGTGCTTGTGTTCCTGTTTTTTGTTTCCGATTTTAAGGGGTTTTGCTTTTGCTTTTTAAGAATAGGCGTTGCATTTGCATTATCTAGAGACCAGGACTTACAGAGGAGTCTTATTTCTTTCTCTTGCCCCTCTGGTATTTTGCTCATACCTAAGCATTTGTATTGATTTGGTGTTTTTTCAGGATTTTTTTGTATAAATATCAGCAAATGCTTAGATAATATCTTATTTTCTACCTTACACAAAATGTAGTGCTATTCTGTACTTTGTCAATTTTTTTCCACGTAATACTATATCCTGGGGCTCTCTCCAAATCAGCACAAAGGAAACTTTGCTGTACTTTTTTCTATGTTATAGCGCTGTTAAGTTTATTCAAGTACTGCCCTATTGTTGCAAAACTGGGTTATTTCCAATCTGTGGGGGCTGCAAATAATGCTCCACACAGACAACCTTCACAAGTAGCATTCTGTGCTTGCATGGTTGTTCCTGCTAGATAGACCTCTAGGAATGAAATTGCTTGATCAAAAGATAAATGCCTCTGTGATTTTGTTAATTACTGATAAATTCCCCTCCATGAAAGTTGTAACATTATGTGTCCCTACCAGCTCTGTGTAACAGGGCATATTTCCTTGTAATTTTGATAATATAGTGTATTGTCAAACTTGCAGGTTTTTGCTAATCTGGTAGATGAGAAAAACAATGTTTATTTTCTACTGCCTTTTTTTTTCTTTTAAGGCTTATTTATTTATTAGAAAGGTAGAGTGGTAGAGAGATGGAATAGAGAGGGAGAAATCTTTTTTTCTTTTTTTTTTTTTTAAGATTTATTTATGAGCTACAGAAAGAGAGAGACAGACAGAAAGGGAGAGAAATCTTCCATCCACTGGTTCATTCCCCAGTTGGCTGCAATGGCCAGAGCTATGCCAAGCTGAAGCCAGGAGCCAAGAGTTTAATCCAGGTCTCCTACATGGGTGCAGGAGCCCAGGGACTTGGGCCATCTTCACTGCTTTTCCCAGGCCATTAGTAGGGAGCTGGATTGTAAGTGGAGCAGCCAGGACTGAAACCAGTGCCCATATGTGATGTCAGCACCGCAGGCAGCAGGTTAAACCGCTTTGACACAATACTGGCCCAGAGAAAGAAAATTTCGTTCTCTGCTGGTTCAATCCTCCAAATGCATGCAACAGCCAGGGCTGGAGCACTCCAAAACCAGGAGCCAGGAACTCTGTCCAGGTTTCCCATGTGAGTGGCAGCACTTGGGCCATCATTGGCTGCTTTCCCAGGCCAATCAGCAGGAAACTGGATCCGAAACAGACTGGAACCAGCACTCCCATGTGGGATGTCAGATACCTATGGTGGCTTTATCTGTGGCGCCACAACACCGGTCCCCTTCCTTTGCATTTGTTTAATTACAGATGTGGTTGAGACTGTTTTTCAGATGCTTAAGAGCCATTTGCATTTGTCCACACCCACAGTTTATTCCCTTTGATCTTCTGTTTGATTTCGGGAACTGTTTATAAAATAGGCACTGAGGATAGAGCTGAGGAACAAAGCCAAGTCTCCACCTTCACAGCCTCCTTCCAGTGGACAATATTTTGCCGTGGCTGATGTTGCCAGAAATAATTCTCCTCTTTCAACACGGAGGCCATGGGCAGTAACGACTGATTACGTTACCATTGTCTTCAGCTATGTGCAACTTTCCTGTTTGACCCACCCTTCCAGGAAAAGACTATATCCTTAATGGAATGAATCCATTTCTCCAAACAAGGAAATGTGCACTCTTGCAGTTATTAAAAATCATGGTTCATTCCCAAATGCCCACAGCAGCCAAGGTTGGGCTAAGCTGAAGCCGGGAACCAGAAACTCTGGATCTACCAGGTGAGTGGCGGGGACTCCAGGGCTTAAGCCAGCACCGCTGCCTCCAGAGTGCACATTAGCAGGAAGCTGGAATCAGAAATGAGCTGGAGCTTGAACTCAGGCACTCAGAAGTGAGATGTGGTTGTCCTAAGAAGCATCTTTACTGCCGCACCAGACACCTACCCCTCAAGGGCAAACTTGAACTCAGAAGAAAACAATCCATGAGCATGCAACAGGTCAACTGAAATTGACCCAAACAATAGAAAGAAAAAAGGATGAGCAGAGTCTGAGAGACATGTGGGACGTGACCACTCTGATATATGCACAGAAGTGTTCTAAGAGAAGATGAGAAAGATTAAAAGAATATTGGGAAAGTTATGGCCAGAAATGCCTTACTTTTGATGAAAAACTGCATCAAATCTGCATACCCAAGAAACCCAACACCAAGTAGGACAAATGCAAAGAGACCCACACCAAGACAGATCTTGGCAAGAGGAGTTAGGAGAGGTACAGCAGGTTAAGCTGATCCTGGAGACACTGGCATCTCATATAAGGGTGCTGGTGTGATTCCCAGGTGCCCTACTTCTGATCCAGCTCCCAGATAATGAACCTAGGAAGCAACAGATGATGGCCCAAGTGCCTGTGCACCTGCAACTCCTGTGAGAGAACTGAATGGAGTTCCTGGCTCCCAGCTTTGGTCTGGCCCAGCCCAGGCTGTTGCAGCCATTTGGGAGTGAACCAAAAAAGGGAGATTCTCTCCCCCCTCCCCACCTCTATCTGTTGCTCTGCCTTCCAAATAAATTTTTTTTATTAATTTTTTATTAAACAGGCAGAGTTAGACAGTGAGAGAGACAGAGAGAAAGGTCTTCCTTCCGTTGGTTCACCCCCTAAATGGCTGCTACGGCCGGTGCACTGCACCTATCCAAAGCCAGAAGCCAGGTGCTTCTCTTGGTCTCCCATGCGGGTGCAGGGCCCATGGACCTGGGCCATCCTCCACTGCACTCCTGGGCCGCAGCAGAGAGCTGGACTGGAAGAGGAGCAACCGGGACTAGAATCCGGCGCCCATATGGGATGCCAGCACCGCAGGCAGAAGATTAACCAAGTGAGCCACCGCACTGGTCCCCCAAATAAATGTTGTTGTTGTTGTTGTTGTTTTTTTTAAAGGGAAGGGGGGCGGGCCGGCACCGCGGCTCAATAGGCTAATCCTCCACCTTGTCCCAGTTGCTCCTCTTCCAGTCCAGCTCTCTGCTGTGGCCCGGGAGTGCAGTAGAGGATGGCCCAAGTCCTTGGGCCCCTGCACCCGCATGGGAGACCAGGAGAAGCTCCTGGTTTCTGGCTTCGGATCAGTGCAGTGCGCCGGCTGCAGCGCGCCGGCCGCGGCAGCCATTGGAGGGTGAACCAATGTCAAAGGAAGACCTTTCTCTCTCTCTCTCTCTCTCTCTCTCTCTCTCTCACTCTCCACTCTGTCTGTCCAAAAAGAAGGGAAGGGGGCAGGCATTATGGCACAGTGGTTAAGCCTCCCATATCAGGTTGCATAGACTTGAGTCCCTCCTTGTTTCCAATCTAGCTTCCTACTAATGTGTGCCTTGGGAAGAGCAAGTGATGGCTCAAGTACGTGGCACTGTCACTCATGTGGTAGACCCAGAAGGAATTCCTGGCTCCTGGCTTCAACCTGGCCCAGCCCCGGGCTGTTGCCAGGCATTTAGGTAATGAGCCAGAGAGTGGATGTTCTCTGTTTCTCTGTCAGTTTTCCTCAATACAAAAAAAACAAATAATCAAAGACAAAGAGAGCAATTCTTTTTGTTTGTTTGTTTGTTTAAAGAATTATTTTAGGGCCAGCGCCTGTGGCACCAGCACCCTGGGTTCTAGTCCCGGTTGGGGCGCCGGATTCTGTCCCGGTTGCTCCTCTTCCAGTCCAGCTCTCTGCTGCGGCCCGGGAGGGCAGTGGAGGATGGCCCAAGTGCTTGGGCCCTGCACCCACATGGGAGACCAGGAGAAGCACCTGGCTCCTGGCTTCGGATAGGCGCAGCGCGCCTGCCATAGCAGCCATTTAGGGGGTGAACCAACAGAAAAAGAAGACCTCTGTCTCTCTCACTGTCTAACTTTGTCTGTGGAAAAAAAATATATTTTTTTTTATTTTTGACAGGCAGAGTGGACAGTGAGAGAGAGAGAGAGAGAAAGGTCTTCCTTTACCGTTGGTTCACCCTCCAATAGCCGCTGCGGCCGGCGCACCGCGCTGATCCAAAGCCAGTAGCCAGGTGCTTCTCCTGGTCTCCCATGCGGGTGCAGGGCCCAAGCACTTGGGCCATCCTCCACTGAACTCCCGGGCCACAGCAGAGAGCTGGACTGGAAGAGGAGCAACTGGGACAGAATCCGGTGCCCTGACCAGGACTAGAACCCAGTGTGCCAGCGCCGCAAGGTGGAAGATTAGCCTATTGAGCCGCGGCGCCGGCCTTATTTATTTGAAAGAGTTACAGAGAGAGGTAGAGCCAGAGAGAGGTCTTCCATTCTGCTGGTTCACTCCCCAAATGACCGCAACGGCCAGAGCTGAGCTGATCAGGAGCCAGGAGCTTCTTCTGGGACTCCCATGTGGGTACAGGGGCCCAAGGACTTGGGCCATCCTCTACTGCTTTCCCAGGCCACAGTAGAGAGCTGGATCGGAAGGGGAGCAGCTGGGACTTGAACCAGTGCCCATATGGGATGCCGGGACTGCAGGCTGGGGCTTTAACCCACTGCGTCACAGCACCGGCCCCAAAGAGAGGGATTCTTTAAAGCAGCAAGGGAGGTCACTGGCACATGACTCCCAGAGGCTCCCTCCCAGAGACAATCCAGATAGAATCTGAGGTAACAATTATCTGTGAGTCATCAACAAAGCCACCCTATGGGTGAGCTCAAGGATGGAAAATGGCTGAGCGTCTTAAATCTTCCCAGTGCTCTCTTCTTTCCTCAAAGTCTCTTATTCAGGGCCCCATCTTGGCCCTCTCCCTCCTGTAAGGCAGGACTGAGAGGGTACAAGGGGTCTTTGCCAGCGGTGTTGGGGTGAGTCCTGAGACAGCATCACTGCGAATCTGATACAACAATGACTGCCCGCCCTTGGAGGGCCACAGTTGCCCAGTTGGGAAAAGCTAAGCAGTAAGTAACAGTTGGTTCTAGATTATATTGCATGTAGCCTAAGCATAAAGTCATATAGAACATTTCCCTTCAAAAATAAAATTCCAAGACTTACAGTGTAATTACAAAAATTAGGCTTTTTGACATTTATTTATATTTATGTGAAAATGAGAGTTACAAGAGAGAGACAGAGAGAGAGAGATCTTTTATCCACTGGCTCACTTTCCAAATGGCCACAATGGCTAAGGGTTGGGCCAGACTGAAGCCAGGAGCAAGGAGTTTCTTCCAGATTTCCCAAGTGGGTGCAGGGGCCCAAATACCCCGGCCATCTTCCATCGCTTTTCCCAGGCATGTTAGCAGGGAGCTGGATGGGAAGTGCAGCTCTGTATTTCTTTATTGCATAAGTTTTATATCTACATAGATGCACATCTACAGTTTTGTATTATACTTCATATCTAAATACGCATCTATGTGTCTGATATGGTACTTCAATCTGTTTCACAAAGATAATTTAGTAGAAACTTGAGGAGAAAAACTTGGTGATTAATTTTTCCAGGAGTCTAACCCGGGAGCCTGCCATTCATTTAAACTGACAGCTTCTCTATATCCGTCGTGTGCCAGAAATTGTGCTGGACTCTGGGTGTTCCTAGTTGGACAGGAAGGTCACATACTCAGCCTGAGCTTGGCCAGGGGTTAGGAGAGGCTGCCTGGAGGAGGAAACTCCTTAGCTGATTGAAGGATTACCCAGATGAAGCGACACGAGAGCAGGCAGAGCTAACCAGGGAGAGAGACCAAGAGAGAAGGAAGGGAGAACTTGGCAGATTTGAAGGCCTCCAAAGAACCATAGTACAACTTAGAAAATCAAAGTTCCAAAATTCAGTTCAAATCAGCTCAAATCAAAAGCATATTTCTCAGTTCCTTCCCCTGTGCATGGCCTTCTATTATAATACAGGTAGCAGGAAGACATGGCCACACCCAGTTTGTCAAGCTGACAAGTAACAATAGGGGTAACAAGTAACAATATGGGGACTGGGGAGGGACTTTTCAAAGTTCAGCAGCTCCTGCCAGGGAGGGGATGGACAGGAATTCCAGCATACAACCGGAGGAAAAGGTAGGGACAGGAAACTTCCAGTTGTTTCCAGAGAGCTGACCAGAGCTCTTGTTACGAAACAGATCTGGAGTTGAGTGGAGACTAAGTGGGAGAGTAAAGGGAGAGACAAGCAGGAGTCAGGGTGCAGAAGGCTTAAGACTCTGGCTCTGGTTTCTTGGGAGGTTTGAAAGCAGCTGAGATACAATGGGATGCGGTTTTGGAAACATCCCTGGGGCTACAGTGTAGGGAGTGGATGGAAGAGTGAGATCCATGCCAGAGAGACTGGGTGGCCATTACCGGCATCCTGGCCTGAACTGGCCATGGTCAAAGAGATGCAGTACAGTCATGGTTTTAGAAATGTTAAGGGGCCAGTGCTGTGGTGTAGTGGATAAAGCCGCTGCCTGCAGTGCCGGCATCCCATATGGGCCCCAGTTGGAGTCCTGGCTGCCCCACTTCTGATCCAGCTCTCTGCTATGGCCGGGGAAAGCAGTGGAAGATGGCCTAAGTGCTTGGACCCCTGTACCCATTTGGGAGACCCAGAAGAAGCTCTTGGCTCCTGGCTTTGGATTGACCCACCTTAGCCATTGTGGCCATCTGGGGAGTGAACAAGTAGACAGAAGACTTCTCTCTCTCTACCTTTGCCTCTCAAATAAATAATCTTTTATAAAACATTTTTATGTATTTATTTGAGAGAGGGAGTTACAGACAGAGAAGGAGAGACAGATCCTCCATCCACTGGTTCACTTCCCAAATGGCCACAATGGCCAGAGCTGAGCTGATCTGAAACCAGGAGCCAGGAGCTTCCTCCGGGTCTCCCATGCAGGTTCAAGGGTCCAAGCGCTTGGGTCATCTTCTACTGCTTTCCCAGGCCACAGCAAAGAGCTGGATCGGAAGTGGAGCAGCCAGGACTAGAACGGGTACCTATATGATATTCCAATGCTGCAGGCAGAGAATTAACCTACTGCACCACAGCACCGGCCCCAATAAATAAATCTTTAAAAACAGAAGAAGTAGAAGAACTGTTAAGGATCTTATTGGTAGGCCTGATAGCTGATGAAGTCTGGTAACAATGAGTAAGAGGTCAAGGATGAACCCCAGGTTTCTGGTTTGTGTGACCTTATGGACAGGGTTGTCAGCAGCTGCCACATTGTAGCTGCCGTCTCTTCATAGGCTCCACCTACACACCAGTGGCATGTGTTTCTTTCTCCCCCACTCCCTGCTCTCAAACCTGGAAGGAAAACCACAAGGCAAGCCTGGAAAATCTCCCTGAAAGGCTTCATGTTGCTCCGTGCCTGGTGAGGCCCCTAAGCGGGGCCAGCTCCTCCAGAAAGCAGAGTGGAAACCAACGCCCCTCCCATGTACACACACTCCTTGTATGGCCACACTAAGGCCTTGCCTGCACTCTAACCACCTCCCCATTCCCAGCCCTTTTTCTCATTCCCCACCTACCTATGCAGGTAACAGAACTGTGGATTGATCTGATATTGACAGCTTAGATAAATGGCAACATTTAGAGGTTGTTCTTCCTGTCTCTATCTGTTCTTTTTTCTCTTTCTCTACTGTTTTTCCTCTCTCTCTCTCTCTCTCTCTCTCTCTCTCTCTCTCTCTCTCTCTCTCTCCTCCCTAGCTTTCATCATGAATGTACTGCAATGCATTACTTGGGTACATAAAATATGCATGTGCAATTTAAGTCATTCTTATAACAACACACATGCAAACACCACCCAAGCAAAGCTATAGAATACAACTGGCCCCTCAGAATCCCCTCTTAGATACTCGCCCCCCCACAACCCTTCGCACCCACCCCTCCCACTTCCTCCTGCACATAACTAGCATCCTGACTGTGGGACTCTCTTCCTTGCTTTTCGTTTCTGTGTCATCACCTTAAATATGTTCCCCTAAGGTAAACAGCAGAGTTCAGCTTTCCTTGTTTTGGAACTTTACCCTTTGGAATTCCTTGAATCTATTTCCTTCTTTCAAATTGTGTTTCTTTTTCTTTTTTTAAAGATTTATTTATTCGAAAGGGAGAGCTACGGGGGGGGGGGGTTCCATCCACTGGTTCACTTCCCAGCAATGGCTGAAGCTGTGCTGATCCGAAGCCAGGAGCCAGGAGCTTCCTTCGGGTCTCCCATGAGAGTGCAGGGGCCTGAGAACTTGGGCCATCTTCCACTGCTTTCCCAGGCCACAGCAGAGAGCTGGATCAGAAGTGGAGCAGCTGGGACTCCAACCGGGCCCATATGGGAAGCTGGCACGCAGACAGCAGCTACGCCACAGTGCTGACCCCCTCAACATTGCTTCTAAGATTCACCTATGTGATATGTAGCCATGCTGTCCTTTGCATGAATATACCACCATTTAAATAAATAGATTTGGGGCTGGCACTGTGGTGCAGTGGTTAAAGCTGCTGCCTGCAGTACCCGCATCCCATATGGATGCCAGTTCAAGTCCCAGCTGCTCCACTTCCAATCCAGCTCCCTGCTATGGCCTGGGAAAGCAGAAGATGGCCCAAGTCCTTGGACCCCTGAACCCTCCTGGGAGACCTGGAAAAAACTCCTGGCTCCTGGCTTCGGATCAGCTCAGCTCCGGCCACTGCGGCCAATTGGGGAGTGAAGCAGTAGATGGAAGACCTCTCTCTCACTCTGCCTCTCCTTTTCTAGGTAACTCTGACTTTCAAATAAAATAAATAATTCTGTAAAATAAATAAATAGCTAGCTTAATTTGAAAGGCAGAGAGACAGAGACAGAGGGAGATTTTTTATTTGCTGGTTCACTCTCCAAGGCCTTCAACAGCCAGGGCCAGGCCAGGCCAAAGTCAGGAGCAAAGAACTCCATCTCTGTTTCCCACATGAGTGGCAGGGACCCAACTACTTGAGTGATCAGCTGCTGCTTCTTCGGGTCTTTGTTAGTCGGAATCTGGAGCACAGTGGAGCCAGGACTCGATGCCAGGCTCTTAGACAGGTGGCACTTTAACCACTCTGCCACACGCCGGCATGGTACCACCATTTTTTCCCCACACCATTGGGATGGTCACTGGATTGTTTCCAACGTGAGCTATTACAAACAAAGCTCCATGAACCTACTTGTGCAAGTGTTGCACAATTCCTAAGTTTCCTGGGTTTGCATCTGGGAGAGGCGCGCTCCCTCCTAAGGTGCCTTCACTCTTGGTCCCTGGCACTCACTGTGCCACATCCTCACCAACATTTGGCACTGTCTCTCACTTTTCGACACTTTATTCCCAAAACAGACTCTCCTACAAAAGTAGGCTTCCCCAGGCCAGTGAGGGAAGCACACTCACTTGCTTCCTGCTTCCCAGGAAGCTGTGACAGGGGACACTCACAGACAAGGCACCCTGCTGGGCACGAGCGACTCCCAAGTGAGGAGGCCAAAACCTCCAGGTTCAGTGATTTGACAAATCCTGCTTGGGCGGGGGTGCTTTAGTACTTAAAAGCAAAACAAAGCTCTACATGACACACTTGCTGTGTTATCATGTGGCCCCGGTATGCTTTAATTCTCAAGTTTAGAACCTGGGTGGCCGAGTTTGTTTTCAGTAGCCTTGAGCTTGAATGGACTGACCGCCCTGTCAGCCCCAAGCCAGGGTGACCCGGCATGATTCCCTACCAAAGCTCATCCCTCACTAACACCCCCAGTGGAGCGGGAGGGCCATGATCAGGTTCTGTCCTGGCTCGGGATTCTCATGGGTACCCCCTCTCTGGTGCCCCACAGGGTTTGACCAGCTGACCTGGACTTGGTCCCCCAGCCCGGCCCTGGCCTCCATCACAGCCGCCCCACCATCCTGGCTGAGCAGGAAGATGCTCCCCTTCAAGGTGAGCAAATGGATGGGCCTCGCTTGCTTCCGGCCGCTGGCGGTCTCCTCGCCCAGTGTCCGTCAGAAGAAGCTGATCCACAAGCTGCAGGAGGAAAAGGCTTTCCGGGAAGAGATGCAACGTTTCCGGGAGAAAATAGAAGACTTCAGGGAACAGATGTGGAGCTTCCGAGGCAAGATCCGGGCTTTCCAGGGCCACATCTTGGAATTTTGGGAAGAGGAGAGACCTTTCTGGGAAGAAGAGAAAACCTTCTGGAAAGAAGAAAAAACTTTCTGGGACATGGAAAAATCTTTCCGGGAGGAGGAGAAAACCTTCTGGAAAAAGTACCGCACCTTCTGGAAGGAGGATAAGGCTTTCTGGAAAGAGGACAATGCCTTGTGGGAAAGAGACCGGAACCTTCTGGCGGAGGACAAGGCGCTGTGGGAAGAAGAAAAGGCGCTGTGGGTGGAGGAGAGGGCGCTGCTCGAGGAGGAGAAGGCCCTGTGGCAGGATAAGAAGGCCCTGTGGGAGGAGGAGAACGCGCTGTGGGAGGAGGAGAAGGCCTTCTGGGTGGAAGATGGCGGCCACGCGGCCGCGGCGCAGGTGCGGGAATGGGGCCTGCACAACGCCAATGGCGGGCAGCGGTCGCCAGCCGTCTTGAGAGGGAGGGCGTAGCCGGGGCAGGACCTGCGGGGCCGTGGTGGCCAGACCCCGCCGGCTGGGATTAGAGTCCAGGGCGATCCCACATGCCAGAGAAAAGTATGCACTTGTCTCCTAATAAAGTCCCGAGGAGAAGTTTGGGGCGCCAACTCTTCCAGGAAGGACACTGCGTTTCCTCCGGGTGCGGAAATTCTCCGGGCTACGGCGGCTGGCCGCAGAGCTGAGGCCCAGGCTGCGTGCAGCAACTCCGCTGAGTGGGTATTCGTGAGGACACGCACGGGGCCTCTCTCCAGTAGAACAAGGGGAGGAGAGGCTTGATGCCAGCTAGTGACACACGGTCACTGTGGCATCGCGGGGGCGGGGCACTCTTCCTTCCCTCTGGGCATCGCGGCCTGGAGGGGGCCCCCCGCAGCTCTCCAGGAGAGACCACAGCGCTGTTCGCCTTTCCTGTGTGCCCCTTCCTTACCAGGCAGGCCACCTAGAGCACACTGGCAGAGTCCCTCGGCGATCCTGGCAGTGCCTACTTCCCACAAACTACTCAATGGCCCATGGTCAGTGCGAGAAGGAAGTCCTGACACGAGGCTGTGGTGCAAGAGCATGGTCCCCCAAAGCACTGACCTCCCTGGCCAGTGGAGCCCCATCCGGCCCTTGGGAGAAGCTGGGAGCTCTAAGGGGCTCCCCCTGCCGGCCTTGGAGCCCCACTCACGTAGGTCTACCTGTGCCTGCATTTCTGGCTTCTAAACTCTCCTCTGGGTTTCCTGCCTGGATGACAGTTTTCAGTCAACACGCCGGAGGGAGACGATGCATTGAGTGGATGCTCACCAGTGTGGCTGCTATGCTTGGGGGTGGGGCAGTTGGATGGCCTAGGGAGACGGGTATGGAAACAACTAGAAGTGGGGGGGGGGTGGGTGGGCGGGCGCAGCGGCTCAATAGGCTAATCCTCCGCCTAGCGGCGCCAGCACACTGAGTTCTAGTCCCGGTCGGGGCGCGGGATTCTGTCCTGGTTGCCACTCTTCCAGGCCAGCTCTCTGCTATGGCCCGGGAGTGCAGTGGAGGATGGCCCTGCACCCCATGGGAGACCAGGAGAAGCGCCTGGCTCCTGCCTTCGGATCAGCGCGGTGCGCCGGCCGCAGCGGCCATTGGAAGGTGAACCAACGGCAAAGGAAGACCTTTCTCTCTGTCTCTCTCTCTCACTGTCCACTCTGCCTGTAAAAAAAGGGGGGGGGGGTAAGAAACACCAAGACGGTCACTTCTGCCTTCCCTTTCCTTTTTTTCTTTTTTTATTAAAATTTATTTATTTGAAAGGCAGAGTTACAGAGAGGCAGAGGGGAGAGAAAGAGGTCTTCATCCGCTGCTTCACTCCCCATTTGGCCTCAATGGCCAGAGCTGGGCTGATCCAAAGCCAGGAGCAAGGAGCTCCTTCCGGGTCTTTCATGCAGGTGCAGGGGCCCAAGGACTTGGGCCATTTTCTGCTGCTTTCCCAGGCCATAGCAGAGAGCTGGATCAGAAGTGGAGCAGCCAGGACTTGAACTGGCGCCTATATGGGATGTGGGCGCTGCAGGCAGCGGCTTTACCCGCTACGCCACAGCGCCGGCCCTTCCCTTTCCTTTAATGTGTTCACTCACCTCACACCTGCCTTGGGCAAGCACCTGTGCATTCACTGGCTCATGTGATCTGCACCACAGCTGACAGGGAATGCACATGAGCCCATTGGACAGATGGGCACACAGAGACCTGGAGAGGCAGTGACTGAATGGGGCCAAACATGTAGCAAATAGAAGGGCCAGGACTGGAACCCGCATCGTCTGCACTTGGGTCTTGTTCCTTTTCTAACTGAGCCCAGGTTGAGAGCCTGTGGTGGCAGAAGTACTTGGCTGAACATGGCATCGATGCTGGAGGAGGCTTAAAGGGCTTTGGGATTTTGCGGTGGGGTGAGGTGGTGGTGGAGAGATGGAGAGGACAAGGGACCCTTCAGAGTCCCCTAGATTTGCAGGACATTCATTCTTGGTGCCGGCTCATGCAGCCTTGAGACCTGGGTGGCGCCAGACTCTGCGAGACCTCTGGGTCTCCGAGGGCCAAGACTGCAGTAAGCATGGGGACAGACAGCAAGAAACCTGGGGTGTGCAGTCAGAGCACGCAGGGGGAGCCAGGCCCACACTCAAGGTCTGCCCAGCCAATGGTGCCCGGATGCAGGCCCCCAGTGAGGGAGCAGCGGCTGACTCAACAGCCCCCAGGGGATCCTGACAGAGACGAAATCAGATGACCCTTGACCTCAAGATCAAAGAACTATAACACAGGTTGGGGCAGGAGCTGGCAGTGTGCAGTGAATAAAAATGATCCCTTTAACAGCGCCCTAGGGAAAGCACCAGAGACAGAGTTGCCACTTGACAGTGGGTCAAGCCGCTGACCGGAAAATTCCACCCTCCATGGGCAGACAGCTGTGGACGTCGCCTCCGTTAAGCCGTAGGTGAGGGGATGGGCAGGTGAACAGCACAGTGCATTGTAAAGCCGTGAGGGTTGGGCAGACAGTCATCGAGCGTTTCACTGCGAGTGAAGAGTGCATGCATGGGGTCTGCAAAGGATTCCTGGAGGAGGTGACGGATGGGGGAGGTTAACAGGCAGGAGTGCAGGCAGGGGGAACAGCTCAGGTGCATGATTGGAAAAGCTGCAAACACATTGGTGAACGTGGGGGAAATGCAACATACTGAGCTCCTGGCCTGGGCCAGAGGGAGCCACTAGGGAGTGTGAAGGGAAGGAGTGACAGTCTTCAATTTTAGAAGCAACACCCGGCTGCTCATTGTGGCTTGCAAGCCACCAGTACTGGCCTCCCCGGGCCCAGCTCTGATCTATTGAAGCAGGCCCTGTGTCTCCACAAGGTCCCCAAGACTTGCACAGCCTCAGGTGTGGAGATGTGTGTCTGCAGAGTAAGTGAGGGAGCTGTGAGTGGAGAAATGGAGAGACCCTCAGCAGGTGGCCGAGGCGTCCAGGTGCCCTGCCCGAGGTGGTGGTGGGGTGCACGTGAGGAGAAGCCTGCTGCTTAAAGAGCCACTGGGAGGCGGGCAGAGGCCACTGGCTGTGGACGGACTGGATGTGGACAATGCGGGAGAGGCAGGTGATGTGTGGGCTCCTGCCTAGGACAGTGAGGGGGTGGCTGTGCCTGTCTCTGAGAGGGAGCCCAGGAGGAAGAGGAGGAGGGATTTTTGAGGGGCGATGACAAGTGTAGGACATGCAAGATTGTAGATGCCCTTTATCTGCAAAGCCAAGCAAGTTCTCAAAGCTCAGCCAACCTTTCTCCTTGTGCAGTGCCACCCAACAAGAAGCCGCACACCAACCCCCCTTCCTTACGTAAATCACTCAGCAATTATGTCATCACTCATTCATTCATCCATCCACCACCAAGCCTTGCCGGTGCCGTGCTGTGTCTGGGAGAGTGAGTTGTTTTCCTGGCTCCGGGAAGCTTGCAGACCAGCAGGGGACAGATAATCACATCAGCACAACTGGCCAAATGCCATGAAGACCACAGGCCTGGGAGGAGGAGCCAACAGGGAGTTTGAAACCAGAACAGGATGCCTGCGGCTAAAGACCACGCACCCAGGGATAGGGCAGCTGTGTGCAGCAGGAACGGGGAGTCCCCGGGTCCCCAGGATAGGCTCCCAGACACAGGGCAGGAGGCAGGTCACGTCTAACGGGCCTCCCAGCCTCTGGGTTATCGCTGCTGCTGCTGTTTATGCAAAGTGGAAAGTTTCTCCACACCTGGGCAGCTGGGGAAGCTGGCTTCCCCTGGGAGACAGCTCCTGCGACAGCATCTGGGAACCCCTGTGTGCTTGCTCGGGGTGCTTCTCCCAGCAGGGAGCCGTGGTGCAGAGCCTTGCTTACTTGGCCAGGCCCCGGATTCATAATGGGTCATCTTTTATGCCAGAGGCACAACCCAATGGGGGCCTGGAACAGCTTTTGCTGCTGTAACTGTTGGCTCACCCCCAGCCTCACCCTGGGGAATTGCCATCTTCCTCCCCAAGCCTGAGCCCATGCAGAGGTGCCGACCCGGCTCTGCCAGAAGGGCAAAGATGACGTCTTTGAGACGCAGGGCATTCTCCAGCTGTCTTAATTAGTCGAGCTGCTACAACAGAACAGATATTTCTCACTCTGCTGGCTGCCAGGAAGCCCGCGACTGCTGGCAGTCGTGGTGGTGCAGGCTCATTTCCCGGCTCTTGGATGACCCCTTCCAGCTGAGTCTTCCGATGGCAGAAGGGACAAGGCAGCTGTCTGGGGTCTCTTGGATGAGGACATTAATCCCATTCCTGAAGGCCCCAACCTCAGGAGCTCATCACCTCCCAAAGGCCCAGCACCTGATACCATCACCTTGGCAGGGTGGGGCTAGGGCTTCAATACAGGAATTTGACGTACAGGGACGTAAACATTCAGACAAAGTAGCACACGAAAACATTGCACTCATGGAAGCTGCCATTGACGTCCTTAGGCTGCGGACTCTCCTGGGGTGCTTGTCATAAATGCAGATTCCTGGGCTCCACCCCAGACAATGAATCAGTCTTTGAGCCAGATCTCCAAATCTTATTTTCAGCATGTTTCCAGAAGATTTTTATGCAAATGAGTGTCTTGGCACAAAGTCTCTGGTACAGACTCCGAAGTCCACGGTCCTGTTGTGGCTGTGGGCTTGAGGGCATGGGCCGAGCCTCAGCTCCCTCAACCACAGAAACGTGGACTGGGTCTGTAATTGGGTGGAAGGCGTGGGGCTCCCCCTGAGAAGTGAGGATGAGGAAGAGCAGCTCAGAATCGCTGCGCCCTTCCTCGGAGCCCAGCACAGATGGTCTGCATGAGGTCCTTGTGAGCCAGGCCAGAACAGCTGGCTTCTGTTCACTGGACTTGCACGAGAGGGGAAGCTCATGCATCAAAGACCTGACATGGGGTGACCGGCCAAGTCCTTGCCAACCTCACTGCATCTCCGCATAGGCCTGTGTCCCCTCTCAGCAGCCGGGACCCTTCTCTGGGGAACAATGCTGCACTAATATGTTAGAGACAAGAGCTTACAGTACAATAACTGTCCAGCTCCTAGGCCAATGGCACCTAGGGAAACCTTGCTCTAAGTAAGTAGGAGTTTGCTAGAACTTCTCAGCAAA